TTTAATTTGTATTGAAAGTAATTACTTCCTGTGACCACCCATATATGCTGATAGGGAAGTTTGCTGCAAGTGACTTGTCAGTATAGATGAGAGAATAATACAGTCTTTGTAATGCTTTTTGTGATAACCATTAAAGTGACAGGTATTAAAATTAAGGGAGTCTTACAATAAGGGATGTTCCAACAAGGCTGTATTTGATAATCCATTAAAACACATTAATATAGTATTTAAAGATGTTATCATCACAAAACACATCATACAGTAATTGGTTGACATCATACTGTAATTAGTTCACATCATAGTGTAATTGGTTCACATTTTACTGTAACTAGTTCACACTTTACAGCAACTGTTCACACACTGGTAAATATACTGTAAAATTATTTCTCATTATACTGTAACTGGTTCTCTTTAGTGAAATAAAATAATTAGCAATGATAAAACAGGCTTTGACAAATTTAATAACACAGCTAATAGTATTATGGGTTACTTTATAATTAGCAGCTGTTGCATCTTTTAGATTATGTGAGATTAAGTATTTTTAAGTTTGCATTTCCATCATATATATGCTTATCTCGAGTCTGTGTTTGATATCCCAGTATTAGACATTGTTAAACAATGAACCTCAGCCTGAGCAAGTTTTGTGTTAAACTTTGATGCAGTATATGTTTTACTGTATTGTAGAAAATGAGCACTGTATCAAGGTTGTTGTGACTTTTCATTGACTCTTAAAATGACATTAATTAAGGTTACCACAAATGCCAGACATGCCTAAATAACTACTTTTACTATATTTTACTAATAGTATTTCTTGTATTAAAAGTTACAAATATAATTCTTGGAAATTTTGTTAAAATATTAGTTTGTCAGTTTACAGCACAGCTATATGAGTAGGTTATTTAATGCCAAAACAGTTGGAGGAAAGTGTCTTGCCCAAGTAGCCAACCCAAGCTGATACATTGGCAGGATTCAAACCCACATCCTTTCAGTTGCAAATATGGCACACCAGCCACTGAGCCACTATGACCCATTAGTCATATCTTATAACATACTAGAGAGCATACCAGGTGTATTTTGCATCCGATACCCATTGGAGAGGATTGTTTTCCTTAATAAAATGTTCCATGATTTTCTGTGGCTATAGATGATCAAACATTGGCTGATTATTAGAAAATTACAGTATTGATATTCATTGAAACATTGAGGTTGACAATAAGGTCTATTGGAATAATCCATATCTTCATACCAGTTATTAAGGATACTACCTATCAAGTAAATCATTTCAGTTATTGTAAGATGTGCAACATATTTTATCCAGATTTATTGAGGTTTATTTGGACACTAGCTATTAAGTAATCCCTTTCAGTTAATGTGAAGTGTACAACCTATTAGAAACCAATTAAACGAAGTTTATTTGAACACTAGCTATCAAGTAATCCATTTCAGTTATTGTGAAGTGTGCTATTAGAAACCAATTAAATGAAGTTTTGTTGGATACTAGCTACCAAATAACCCATTTCAGTTATTGTAAAGTGTGATGCTCTTTTTGAAATCCTAAATTCCTGTATTAATGTCAAGACAGAACCCAGGTAGACTATGTGATATTATCGTTGTTACAAACATTGGCAGAAATTGCATATATTGCATGTGTATTTTTGTAATTTATTTAACAAAGGCTTTTCTTTTAAAAAATCTTTACATAAAAAGAACTCATTGACACATATTATGCAAATTATAGCTTAACAATGATGCTATTAGACATAGTAAAAAATGTATAGAGGGACTTTTATTTTGTATAGTGTTAAATTCATTAGAATACATGAAATGTTTTACTCTATTAGTGACAAAGCTTAACAGTGATAAAATAAACTGTAGAATAAATTATTTGAAATATTTGAAACCATGTTTTAGTCTTTTAATTTTTTTAAATGTGTTGTTACATGGCCATGAATTCAAAAATCTGATAAAATATGTTAACTGAAGGTAGAAACATCTAAGTCATCTTTATTTGTCTCAGCTGATGATAAAGTTTCATTTTATTAAAACTATAAATGTTGTTTTTTTTATAGAAATAATTGCCTACTTTTGATTTGTATAAATAAAAATTCCTATTTTTGGGCCTTAGATAATTCCCTACCTGTCACCCATTTTAGAGAATATTGTCTACTTTTTGTCCATACATATATAATTGCTTACTTTTAGTCCATATAGAGAAAATTGCCTACTTCTGGTTCATAGAGAGATAAATTTCTTACTTTTGGTCCTTATAGAGATAATTGTGTACTTTAAGTACATTATTAGAGCTTATTAGGATAGTTGAAATAAAGAAGAATAATATATTCAGAAGCTACCAATGGAAATTATTTTATTATTATTTTATTATTATTATTATTATTATTATTATTATTATTATTATTATTATTAATTTTACAAATATAATAATATCAGACAAAACAAGGTGGAAATCACAATTTTCATTAACTGCAACTTTACAGTGAATATTAAAACTACCTGGCAAGATAACTATCCTATTATTATAAGATATTTTCATAATTTACATTTCAGATGCATTTAGGCTAAATTTTTCAACAATATATATATATATATATATATATATATATATATATATATATATATATATATATATATATATATATATATATATATGTGTGTGTGTGTGTGTGTGTGTGTGTGTGTAATGCTGACAGTGTTTTGAGTCTAAAAATTTAATGTCAAATTCATGTTCTATTTCACTCTTTTAAGAAAAAAGACGTGGTTTTTTTTTTCATTGTGTCATATTTGAATGTTTTTCTCACTTATCTTTGTTTTCACATGCAATTTTTAATCTAGCTTAACATGCACTTTTTAATTTAGCACGTATATGTTGGATCCTTTTGAGAAAAACATGGAAGGGACATTAATCGTTTAAGCTAGAGTTGTGCATCTTGAATCTCACAAGGGAAATAGTGCATTTCTATTACTTAAAGCTCTTTGCTTACGTCCCTTTGACCATGTTTATGGACGATCTTCCCAAAATCTAAACAGTTTAGAGAATACTTGGACTTCGATATGAATTCATTAACATCAACAGAAAAATTAGTACTTTTATTGTATCCTCTCGGTTAAACTTTGCAACAGGCAGACACACACATATCCATCCATCCATCCATCATCCATCCATCCATCCATCCATCCATCCATCCATCCATCCATCCATCCATCCATCCATCCATCCATCCATTTGTTAATTAACATATACATTGTAAACATTATAACTATTATTGACCGACACGACTTGCTGATTCAATGAAAATGGCGGAAATAAAGGTGGTGTTTTTTTTTTTCGTAAACCAGATAAAAGTATACGTTGTGTTCCTAAAAAGAATCGATATTTGTGTCTGACAGTTTTGTGTATGTTTTATTTTTCGCATTTTGTTATTACAGATTTTTCTTCACCATTCCAACAGAGTTCCATGGTGTTTTTAAATATTTCCAAAACGTGAGTGAGAATGTCACACACACACACACACACGCACAGAGCACACTTGCGAAATTCCTTATAATTTGCGTCAGACCCATTTTGAATCGTACCATAATGCTGTTATAGCTTGTACACGCACAAATTGGACAGACTGAGACTATATTTATTTCACCACTCTATATATCTATATACTCAAACCTACCAACTGAGTGGAGTGCAAACTCAACGAACTTTAAATGAAATTGAAAATTTTAAAATTATTATGCATAAATAATGGCCCAAAGCTACGCTCATAAACTCCTTGTAGAGAAATGATATATGACATTTCATGATTTTAACATAAAGTCAATAACATTGATATTAGGCACTAAAGTGTGTTTAGTTATAAGGTTGGAAGAGATAAAGGTGTGATCAAAGCTAGTTGTGTTACAAAATGACATACAGAAAGAAAATAATGTTCATTTTTCGAGATCAAACAGACAAAAAATATAATGCAATGTTTTGGAGAAGGTAAAAATGTACTGATTACATTCAGTGATCATAACATTCAGTAACTTGCATCAGCCCTGATTGCAATAGGGTTAGATCAGTGCAGAAAGAGGGATTAATCAGTTGCATGGTTGCTATTGGTAAATAATCACATTTTTGATGGTCTAAATTTATAGTAGAATTTCAAGAGGCAGTCAAATTAATATTATTCTACACCAGTTCTACAAAACAAGGAAAGAATTGATGGAATAAAATATTTAATGTTTTGCAAATTAACGAATACTGCTGAGGATATTCTGTTAAGTTGCTGATAACATAGACATGCATGTCTTCAAGCTAAACGTATTGTTTAAATGTTTTATACCGTTTAAAATGAAGTACAATAGTACACATCTTAACTGGAAAACGACTGCAATGAAGACCTCTTTACTGTCATCCAGAAAGTCTGAGATATTAACTAAGACTTTATTTGGTATTGAAATAAGTCACTTTATCACAATTGCTGGAATATAGGTACTGAAAAATTTGGGGTTATGGTTGAAAACGTCTCCATAAGACAGATAAATAAGGAGTTTTGCACTGTCATCACATAATTCCCATCTCTATGAATCCAGACCTTACCAAAAAAAAAAAAAAGGCCCCTCCCCTCATACGTTACCGAGGGCCAAAATGTGAGGTCCTGGATCGTGTACTGTTAGGAGGGAGCTGATGATATGAGAACTGAAAGCTTGTATAGTACAAATGCAATTACTTTTATCGTAGGAGTGTTTATCACTGTCAGATTCTTGATGTGATTTGATTATAATTTTTAACGAAACTTTAACAATTTTTCAGTCATATCGCTACGATGTCTGCAGCGTGGCAGTTTATAGTGATGTCTAGCAATGGACCATCATGCCGCAGACATGTAGCATGATTTCCCACCCACTCACATTATCCTGACACCAGGTCGACCAGTCCTAACACTAACCTCTTAATGCTGAGCATCAAGCGAGGCAGATGTTAATACCATTTTGGTATGTCTTTGGTATGATGACCGGGGATAGAACCCACGACCTCCCGCATCTGAGGCGGACGCTCTAACCACTAGACCTCCGGAGCGGTTTCAGCTTCTCGATGGCCTAGCTATATCTGGAATCTATCAGAACTGGATCAGATTGGAACAGCGATTCTTTGCTCTAATACGTAAAAGGTCGATGGTAAAAGGATGAATAGATAAACTGGAATCGCCAGAAGCGGTTCTAATTAGGGCCGTCATCAAAACAGGACCCATGGTCTGAAAATACCTCCCCGTTTGTTTGTAAAACCCCACCCCACCCCTTCAGGTTTAAAAGAACAGCAAGCACAAATGAAATAACAGATATTCATATCTTTATCAGTGCATTTATTGATTATTATATCAAACCAGATTATGCGTCTTTCATTACAAACTGAAGCTTTTCGTGTAAAAGACTACATTGCTTGCCAGTTATTTCCAGTCCTTGACAAGTTCGATTTCAGCGAAGAGGGGTACACAGGGCTAATCGCATATGTACATAGAAGGTAAATATTATGTCGTCTGCTTCCCATATTTACAATGTTGAATCAAGGAAAGGAAAAGATGACAACTACAAAGTTGCCTTTCCCGTGTATTTAACAAGCAGTGTAATTTACATGCTCACTTGTGTAAAGATATTTAACTCTAAACTCTTAATATTATGGTAACATTTACTGAATTATTGGGGAGTTGAGGATGAACTACATCACAATGTTGTCTGAAGAAAATAGACTCGCTCATATTGTATTGTAACGAGAAACCTCATGGACTTCAAATTTTCGTTTCGTTGGTTAATGTTTCATTTCGTTCAAATTTATATTGAGAGTTTAAATACTTTACGGGCTTTGTAGTGCCATCTATCGTTTAAGTTCTGGATCACGTGATTCCACCTGGGTATATATACTAGCCAGTTGTGGCTGCAATAGTGGTGTGTTAGAAAGCGGCGTAAAGTGAAGATATCCCTGCAGTGTAGCAATATAACCACCCCGCCAGAGCAAGCATATTTGGTCGTATTCCGTTGGGCAGACCAGGAATCTGAAAAGGTTAGGGACAAGGTCTTTCATCGACCAGCATTCCGGCGCTACAAGGCTTATCAAATCGAATGCAGAGTAATTGCAACAATACACGTTTCGACTGAAGACAACTCTTCTTTCATTATTTCAAACTTTGGTCTCTCTCCCTATCGATCTCGAGCGGATAACGACGCGACTCTGCGACCGAGACTGAGACAAATCAGCGACCAGAAGAAGACCAGTCGGCGACTGCGACCACGACTGTGACCTCGTCGGTAACAAGAAGACCCAGTCTGGGACCGTGCGACCAGTCTGGGACCGAGACTGCGACAGCCAGTTACCAGAGGAAGACCATTCGGCGACCCTGCAACAAGCCGGCGACTGCGACCAAGACCGCGACAAGTCAGCAACCAGTCGGCGACCCTTTGACATGTCGGCGTCTCTGAGTCTAGTTTGTGACCAAATCGGCGACACCCAAGAAGCCAGAAGTAAGACGGTTTTCACTCAGAGGTAGGAATCTGTCACACTCTGGAGTGTTAGTCATCAGACAGATTCAGCGGATGAGCACTCCAAATACAAGACCTATCATAAAAAATCCGAGATAGCTAGACTCGGGGAAGTGTAGCCGAGGGAGAGTTCCATTACAATACACATTATGGTTTAGTGTTAGTAAGAAAAGTCTGTTAAGCATGAAAGGTGAGGAGGATACTAAATTAAAGCCACTCTGGTCACAGCCATGATAGAAATTAGAAATTAATTAAAAAATTGATTCAATTCTGTGCACCCTTTATCATGTTAAAGGTTTCAGTTATTGAAATCGGTAGAGGAGATACACACAAACGGAGAGATATCTCAGACTATAATATTTTAGGACCAAGATGCGGCAATGACCTTAACCTCGGGTTTGATTCACATAAAGAAAGGTCCCTCACAGTAAAAGAGAAACTCTTTTGATAGTGGGGACAATCCACCCGGAAATGGTATCATGCATATGTATGTATGTATGTATGTATGTATGTATGTATGTATGTATGTATGTATGTATGTATGTATGTATGTATGTATGTATGTATGTATGTATGTATGTATGTATGTATGTATGTATGTATGTGTGTGTGTGTGCGTTTGTGTTTGTTTGTGTGTGTATGTGTGTGTGTGTGAGAGAGAGAAAGAGAATCCAAAGAAATGGAATAATGAAATTATTCTATGTTTTATTCACCTTTTCTTTATAAAACAAAGCCAAATAAAACCGTAAGGCTCTACATAAGCAAAGCAGCTATCATGATCATACCAAGTGTATATACGACTGGGAATGTTAAGATTTACGGTAATAGAAATAGATTTCTTGTTAAGTTGACGCATCCTGTAGAAACACTGGCCTGATATCTATGTCATTGATAGAAAAGGTAGATTCTTAATGAAACCGAATTTGCTGAAGGATTGCTACATGTGGCTCCAGTTGAGAAGGAATAAGATTCTACTTCTCTAGGTTGTGGATCAGGCCGATACGAGTCACCATCCACCAACAGAGGGACAGATCCTTCACAAGAATGTCTCTGAGAACGTTGTGAATCAACCAGTCGTGAAAATATTGGAAACTGAGGTATTCTAAAGAACTCAAGTGAGCTTCTTTTACATTTATCACTTAATAAAGGGTCTGCGGGCGGAGGAAAGGCCGAACGTAACAGCGAAATATAAACCGATTATTTTTTAAACTAACACTTCCTCTCCCTTCCATAGTTCGCATCTCTATTACCTAGTGGAGCTAATTTAGACAGGTGAAATTTATAGGGGGGAGGGCGACGGCAAAAAGGCCCCATATATAATTTGTGCTGCTCCATCAAGTTTCTGAAAAGATGACTAACCATGCACCTACTTGGACCCTAAGAAGATATTGCAAAGGAGGTTTCGACTCCCTAGAGCCAAGTACCTATATTCCTATAGAAATTGGAAGAGTCCGAAGATTTTCTCCGTTGGCCAGTACGTCCGCCTTGTCTAGTCTAAGACAGGATGGAGGGATTTTTGAATTGGCTTTACTTACGTTGACGTCTACCGAGTTTAAGATCTACCTATCACGGTGTGTGCGCTTCTTTCATCTCCCAGGCCAGTGCTGCATGACGGAGCAACATATGTGAGATAGAATTGGTTCAGAAAGTCTCCCAGTTCTGGAGAGATTCCTAATATTCCAAGTACCCAAAGACTCTGGACACAGCTCTTTGGAACAGGAGGCAAAATCCTCGTTTTACATCTTAAATCTGTATTTCTTCCTCATCTATCACATAAAACAACGAAGATTAATTTCGTTGAGCATTTTGCCATACGCATGCATTATTGAGAGTAGCAGGAAAAGAAAGAAATATCCTGTTGGTTATAACTATAGAATCATGTTCCATTATTATGTGCTCTCCAAATGCTAATAAAAGGAGGGGATATTTAGTATAGTCTGGGTATCTTGGTTTCCGGAAAATGGCAACTAAGCGGATTGTTTATTACTGCCATATTAACAGTATTTAGAAACGGTCATCGTCACAGCTTTACAGAGGAAATTGTAAAATTTGGGCATATAGTTTTAAATGACATACGTACCAGTGAAATGGAAAGGACAGAATAAATGTTATAAAGTATCAGGCGTAAAAAAATGCCGTTAAAATAATTAAGCGATGTTCCGAAGTGACATCTCTCGTACTGAAACGATGTATCAAAGGTACACCTATATTCTAGAGGGGACCCAGGAAGAGAATATACGTAGCATATTTATAGATCATGAAAACGTTAGGAACTGAACAATAATGAGTTTCAAAATGGGACACGAATCTACATTAATCGCAAAATCAGAGGGAAAAGAAAGAAAATCTGGAAGCATAATAATTAGACTACAAAATGGTACACAAGAAAACGCTATAGAGGTACAATAACGAGAATGTTTTATAATGCATGATATCAGAGAGGAAATGATAGGAGATGATGATTTTGCTTCAAAAATAACGATTGTGCCTGCAAGAAAAAAGCAGATAAGACCTAAAAATAATTACAAACTTGTATACCAGATTACGAACAACCTAACGGACAAGCGTTGATGCATTAACGAGAATCTGTCGAAGTCTTTCTACTGTTACGTAAATATGGTATAGCAACAGCTATGTAATCAATTTTTCGTTTTATCACGTGCAATTTTAATGCAACCATAAAAACGTCAATCATAAAAATACCTCAAGATCGGATGATTTGGAAAGAAGTTTTACAACTCCAATGACACCCTTCACAGCACGTAGATACACAAAGTTTGAAGAGAGTTTTAAGAACTTTCATTTAATGTTGAAACTACACATATCAACGATTCAGTCATGCAGAATGCATGTGTACAGTGCATAATCAATGCACAGTAATCACAGGGGAGGAAATAGAAATAACAAAATACAATATACCAGAGATGCAAAAAATGTAAAACAAATTTGTTTAAACTGATACTACAGAGGAACAAATGAAACTATTGGAGAAGACAATCAAGAGAGTTATACGTAAATGAGAAAAAACAGTGAATAAAGTCTCAATGCAAATGCACAATTTTTTTACATTAATCGTCACTGAAGCTGAGAGAAAAACACGTAGAAGGCAGCGTATATCTAAGTTAGGATTTTGTCGAACATACACAGACTGTATTGTGCTCTTGTTTTAAGCAATTATTTTACTATAAGTTAGTAGAAATCAGTACTAAATATAATAGAGTTGGAAAAACAGTGAAATATTTTCATGTTTATATTGATGAGAAAAGTATATAAGATATTATCTTGTCGGTATTTCTCAAATGGTTTTGAACCAGGTGGTTACCTAATGGATGGACTGAGCATTTAACGTTTTACTTTGAGTAACGCACTAATTTGAAGCATCTGCCTCTTTGCAATTGCGTACATCTCAAAATCTATACAGGTAAATATGTTTTCGTCTTCATCAAAAGGGGGTAATTTAGGACACTTTTGTTTTCGCGAGTCAATGTTCCATCTCTCTTTTAGCCACTAGCTACTCTAGCGCTTGTTTATGCTCCTCCA